GCATGAGGAGCTGGAGCTGACAGAGGGAGCTCATCCGCCTCTCCCCGGATTCGAACCTGTGACCTGTCGGTCTTCAGTCCTGCCGGCACAGGGGTTTAATCCACTGCACCACCGGGGGCTAACTACTATATATATAAAAGCGCATCAAACCATCTAGGAATCAAGTAAAATATTAGGGAAAAATCCACCACCAAATCACTATGCGTTCCAAGTGCTGCCATTTGAAGGCTGTACCAAAATCAATTTGCAAATGGGAAAATTTCACCATTTTCATATTCATTAAATACAATTAATTACATTAAATTAAATTAAATTCATTAATACAAGAAGCAGAGAGCTCTCACAAAAAATCCCATTCACTAATATTTGTACTGCCTATCCTCATGCATATGATATGCAAGTCAACTGAATTATTTTAAATGAAATTAAATCAGAATAACCATGTATTTATGTTTTTTAAGACCAAACTTACTTTCCCATTTAATGTTGGGCTACAACCCTTACCATTCCCAATTAGCATGGGCAGTGGTTTAGGATGATGGGAACTTTAGTCCAGTAATATCTTAGGAATATGGTGAAAAAGAGCTACACTTAGGACTGAAGGAAAATACCATTTCAATAATTAATCCAAAGCTTATACAGTGCAATTTGGATTACTATCTATGGATCGATGATGGTGGTGGTGGTGTTTATTTATGGCCTGCTTTTTCTATCCTCAAGGAGATTCAAGGTTGGCACTTCCATAGGATAATGCTGCTCTAGGGAAAGTATTTCCTGTCAGAGAGAAATAGGAGATAGAGTTCTTTGCTGGGGGAAGCTAATTGTTTATGTACAGAGATACCTATTTACCTATTCAGTTTTGGATACTGATTATGCTATGGAAATCACCCCTTACAATCCAGTCAACATGGGTCTTTCTCTTACCTTTCATCTGCAGAGATGAACAAAGTTAGTGTTGGGTTTCAATATGGGAGCTATTGAGTGTCAGATTTCATTTCATTTTATTTCATTCAGTGTCAGATTTTATTTCCTGTTCTTCAGTGTCTCCTTGAGCTCTTTGGCACAAATCCGTTACTTATTCTGAAGTGTTGGGAGATACATATCCTCTCTTCATCCTTTCAAATGAACCTTAATAAACATGCAGTAATTTTATGTTGGATTTATCTAGCTCTCCAAATTTTGTTACAAGTCACTGCGCAAGGAATCAAGACAGTGGGACCTGTGCTGTAATTACTTACAGTCTGGTAGACAACACACAAAAGGAGCAAAGGAGTAGCAGAAGGAAAAGGAAAATAATGCAATTTCCAATGTCTGCTTAGACTTGGTTAGAATTTGGCCACTGATTCAATCCTTTCCAGGAGAGAGAAGCATTTTGACAGTCCACACCATTGGGGATGGGTTGGCAGGAGGCTGGCCATGTGTCTCCCACCCTTCTTATATGACACAACTGTTTGTTGAGTCAACTCACCTAGGCTTTGAGATAAACTGGAAAGAAAAGATTAAATATGAAAAAGATGGTTGATTTACATCCTGCCTTTCTCCAACCCACCCAGCGTAGGATTGCAGTCCTGAAGTGAAGTGTTTGCAGGTTGTATTGCTCCAAAAGTAGGTTGCAACTGTCTGAAAAGCATATCAGATACAACAAAGTATTTCTCCTGGCAAGTTACTTAAAGGAGTAAAATCTGCATTGCTGGAGGGTATATACTGCCTTTGCTTCAGGGACGTGAAATTACTTCTTTCAGCTTAGCAGTTGGAGTATTCTGAGTTTTTCCAGTACCGTTCAGGGAGATGGAAGACATAAATCTTTATTTGTGGTCTCAATTTATAGTGGAGGCCTTTGATTTTTACTTTGTGAATACCATTTTAGATAATTGAGAGCAATACTTCTTACTCTATCAGGTGGAGTGGAGTCATAATTTTTGCTACATTTTGTTTTTTTGCTTGTGTGTCTGTGTCATATTTGTGCTCATTGACTAGAACTGTTTCTTTCCTCGAAACTCACCACAGACTAGGAGCCAACATCAATCCACAGATTGCCACATTGGGTACCACTGCTTTAGAATTTAAAACGCATTACAAAATCATACATTAGTCCTAGTACATGGACTTTCTCATGACTTATATTTTAAAATTTATTGCCAGCTGTTGTGAGGTGTTGATAGTTACCTCCAGTCCCCTTCATGTAGACTCCAAGTGACACATCTGCCAGGCTTTTGGATATTAATTGTAAGATGAAGAACTGGGTCAAGAGCAAAGCCTTAGGGTTTGAATGCAGTGCACTGGAAACCATTAAAGCATTTGATGCTCTGCTGGAGAAAAATAAGGTGTCTATACTCTTTGTACAAATAAACATGGATGCACGGAGTGTGATTTCTGTTGATCTTTCAGACTTGCTTTGCTGGGTGTGTTGCAGTAGCTGCTATCTTTAATGAAATGGTTTTGTGAATAAAAGCTGGAGAGGCGGGGATAATATGAGTTAGCTGTTTGTGTTTCTCATTGTGTAGCAATACACACAGGGATAAATCTGTATTTATGTGCTGCAGCTTCCCAGAATGTGATTTACAGCATTTTTATCTTTTCCCTTCCTCCAACACTTTCCACACTTTGGCAAAGTGATTCATCACTGAGTTTTAAAATGAAAACAAAAAAACATTCAGAACTGTATATCTGTTAGTGCTTCTGATCTAATTCACTTTCCATGGAAACCAGAGTATCAGGCAGCTTGTAAATGAAGTGGTTTTTGAAGTAGCTCCTCTTTGCTTCCAAGCAACGGGCAATGAGAATGAAGAATAAGGTACCACAAAAGAGGGAGAGTCTTCATTCTGGCTTCAGATCAGTTATCTTGATTTCCATGTGAGAGTTTTAACATTTCACCTCCTGGTTCCTAACATTGTGAACACACCTTGCCTTCGCTGCTATTTTTTACCAACTACAAATCCTTGGTTCATATTGATTAGGCAAGAGAGCCTGTCTTATTTCATTCACTAATCTGAACACCAGGAACCTGTCACACTGATCTTACTCCAGAATGAGGTCCCATGGGGACAAGACAGAATTTTTGACTCTGCTTTTTAGAGACAACCTTTGAAAGAAACAGTGAGCCTTGTAGTAATAATGTTTGCCCAAACAAGACAGCCCAAGGTAGATGTATTTGAAAGAATTTGTATTCCTTATTCTCTCTCATCTTTATTTCTATCTCATATTTGATATATATAATCAAGGGAATCATTTGGTGTAATTCTTGCACTGCACTGTGGATAAAGGATCGGATGTTTGAAAATGGTCTCACACAGAGAACATACATATAGAAAAGGGGGGGGGGAGAGAAGAAAGATAGTTGGTTCATTATGCTTTTGCAATTTGCACTGTTTAGTGTACGTCACAGTAATCCTTTCAGTAACCTTGCAGTCAGGCCTGGCATTACGTCCTAGCATCCTCAAGCAGTTGTCAGCGCTTTATCATGTTGGAAAGATCCACTATTGCTGACTAGAGTGGTTCTTAATCTGTGGCAGATATGTTTCGCTCGGACTATTTGCCATAAAATGTAGGTGTGTTTTAATGTTCCTATATTTTCAGTGGAGGATTGTTGCTGACTTAGTAAGGGCACAGCATAGATGAACTTTGAGTATAGGATTTCCTGATTCAATAGCTGTTAACACCTCAACTAATTCTACATGATGTTCATGTCTCAGCTTATTCTGCAATCCCAGGCACACTTAATTATGGATGATTAATATTGAATTTAAGGTGGTGGTGCAGCGGGTTAAACCACTGAACTGCTGAACTTGCTGACCGAAAGGTTGGTGATTTGAATCTCGGGAGCAGGGTGAGCTCCCGCTATTATCCTCAGCTTCTGCCAACCTAGCAGTTCAAAAATATGCAAGTGTGAGTATCACATCTGTGGGAAGGTAATGGCACTCCATGCAGTCATGCTGGCCACATGACCTTGGAGGTGTCTACGGACAACACTGGCTCTTCGGCTCAGAAATGGAGATGAGCACCACCCAGACACGACTAGACTTAATGTCAGTGAAAAACCTTCACCTTTACTATATCATCATCATCATCATATAGAACTCACTGATACCTTCTTCTAAGTACGGTGAGTGTGTTTGTGATTGCAGTACCAGGCTGCTTCATTATTAGGACATAAGTTCGTAAAAATGTACACGTTTATGTGGTATGTATAAAATAAGATAGCAATAGGTAGAATCTGCTTGTTGATCTATGCATGATTTGGAGTAGATTGATGATAACCTTTCACCCCCAATTTATTAATACTAGCTGTTTTAGGATTTAAATTAGGCCATTACAATCCCTGATATGTAGAAGCTCAGATACAGATTTGCGTGTTCAAGTCAGCAGTGTATGGTTCCACTTCTGAGCTGCCATTTTGCACCTGACTTCAGTGGGGAGTGTTGTGAAAAACAAAGGAGATTGCATAGCTCTGACATTTGTCTTTGCTACTCCTCTGAGCGTCTTCTGGTATTTATTATATAAATGTTTGATTGTCGATTTTTTGAGCTGCTATGGTAGTTTGTAAAAATTAGCCATTGCAAAATAATTATGTAAAAAGAAGATATCGTGGCATCAATTTGTCTTTTTTTTCCTGTCAAACACTTAAGATATTCAAAAATTGCTTCAGTACCTTTATCATGATTTCTCTTTGTTTAAAAGCCGTTTCAATGTGTAAATGTGTTGTGTGCTTATAACAGTAGATGGAAACCACAGATTTTAACATTGCTGGATAATATCTGACTAGGTGCTATAGGCTATATTTCAAAGGTAGGCATTGGCAAATCATCTTTTAAGTATTTTTCCCTCCTAGGAAAACCCTATGAAATACACAATGTTGACTTAAGTTGACAGGAGACTTGAAGGCATGCAAACACATGCTAAAATACAATTCATTAGCAGTCTATTTTGATCTGGAACTGGAGCCAATTTGTATCCAAGGAGGTAATGTCACTCTTGTTTGTCTTTTTCTCTCTCTCTTGCAGATCTTACTCATCTCAGATTATTTCTATGCATATCTACAGAGGGAATACTACCTCACTCATGGGATCTTCTTAATAAGAAAAGACAGGACAGACCCCATGCTGGTTCTCAAATAAAGCTGATTTAAGAAACAGATTCCTTTGAGAAACAGACAACATTTGAATGGGTAGGTCTGATTTTTAGGAAGATTTTTTTTTTTTTTTTTTGCATACGGAGAAAGGGCTGCATTTTGCCCTGGGGGAAAAATGAATTGATGCTGGTACAGACTTCTTCATAAGGAACATAGTCTGGCTTGTAGCCCATTTGAAGCTTCGTCCTCTGACCGTTACATTTCTACGAACTGCAATTATGAGTCGTGGGAGAGTCATTAGGACCTGCTGAAATACATTTGGATTTGTACCTGGAAAAAAAGAAGGCATTATCTGAGGACGATTGCAAGTTCTGCACAAACTACTGGGAATCTTCTTTTTCAGGAAAATGAACAGTTCTATAGATGTTTTGTTCCTCTTGCTGTTCTGCTTCCACTGCTTAAATTGGCAGCTCACCTGCCTCATATATGGGCTCCTTGAAGAATGGGCAGCTGCTCATATAATTGGACACTTTTTTGCCTTGCTCCGATGTTGGAGACCTTGGACATCCCGTGTATGGTGTTGCGCTTTTGTCAAATGATTGATATCAGCATCCAGAATGAAATTGCTGATCAACCCTAACCTTAGAGGGACATGGAGAGTTAAGTTCTAAATTCTCAGATAGAAGGCAGAGGGGAAATCTTGCTTCCTTTTGTAAAGAAGACTCTGCCCATTCCTATGAATGTGAAGCTGCATCATTTTTGTTTGATTCTAATGAAATAATATTAAAATAAATAATGTAGGGGACCGACAAAGAGATGCATCAACCAGAGCAGTCATGGATAGGCTACCAAATAACCCAAGTATTTCAAATATTTCCCCCTGTTCTTTTATTTTTAGAACATGTTCTGTGTTTCCAGACTTGTGGCGTTTCATGACAAAGGCTGGAAAGCACAAAGCATTTGGCTTTTCTGTAAATGGGTGCATTCTTTTTTCTCTGGGATGTTGGAGCTTTTCAGTATTTATACCATTACAGATTTCACCCACTGTTAACCCTGTAGCTGGAGACACAGTAAAATGTGGTTAGTAGAAAAGCAGCTATGCAAAAATGGTTGCCCCCAATTCACCTTGCAGTTCTATATATTCTGCAAAATTTCCTTGCTTCGGTAACCAAGATACAGGTATTTTTGTTGAAGTTGTTTTATGGTGCTTGCTACTATTTTTATTTCTTCTCACCCAAAACAGTTACAGCTGGGTTTTTTCTTTGAGATTTTTCTTAACGATATGGCTGCCTAACGCAAATGCGACTTAGCCAAAGTCCAGCTACAAAATAGTTTACATTTGGATCAATGAGCAGAAGAAATTAGATTTGGATTCACTGAACGGACAAGAGAATGTGGCCGCTGCCTACCCCACCCCCCACCCCCCACCCCACCCCACCCCTGCAAAAAGCCACTCTGCAGGGCATCATCTCTTTTTCTCTTATAATGTATTTCTTAAACAATTTTTTGAAATTGATTTAAAAGAAAATAAAGACAATCTCGCCTTACTGATTTTGATAAGCAGTGATTTCTGTAGTAAACATCCACAAATGGCAACTATTTATCTGAACAGAGCTGTAGAATCAAATAAGACTTCCTTGAGAAGCTGTTTGAAGATGGACCTGTGCTCAAGAGAATCAAACGGGCTCTCAGAGGTAGTCTGCTTTTTGGATGAAACGTATGTTCCAAAGGGAACAGGCTCTCCATAACTCACAGAGTTCAGATAATTCAATTTACAGAACACATACAAAAGAAACAGAACTATGGCGGTAAGTCCCACCTCCCATTTACAGTCCTGATAAAACTGGCCACTTATTTACATTGGGACATGTAAATAAGGTGGCCAGTTAGACAGAAAATTTTTAGTCCTTTCCTATACAATCCTTTGCCTGGTATGCTGTTAGTAACATAATCCTGCACGTTATGCTATCCACTCTGGACAAACAATACCCCATAGTGCAGCATAGATAGTCTGTAGGCAATGATAGTAGCAGAGTTGCACTTATAACAGCATTTTACTTCACAAGTGCAGTTTGTGCCTTGTAATTGCCAATTGCACAACAGTATCCAGTCACGAACATGTGCTGTGTCATACTGGTATTTTTCATGGGGATTGCATGGTGCTGGTGTAGATATTCACACCACTGCTTCCAGATGGGATCCCCTTAGAGTTAGGTTACAAGGTTGTGTGGAATTAGGAGTGCAGGACCATAGAGCGGTGAATCAGTGCCATTGTGCAAATACAGACACGTGCTAACAAGTGTGCTCCCATAGATATTTTGCCATCATCAGTGATTGTGCGACTGTGTTGGAATAGTGGCTTTGTGCGATAAAAGTCCTATAGGAGTAGGAGCATAATGGATGAACTTCATTTGAGGCAACCTAGTTCGAACATGTACCTTATTTATAGAAACACTAGCATATATACCTGGTGTTGCTCAAGTGCCATTGGGACTGTTCCCTATCTACTTTCTCCCTTCTCCAGCTCATAGAGAGCCTACCTCACAATGTCTCCATGGCCATGCTCTAGCAATGGTGGGCAGGATCTTTTTGTGGCGCCCTCCTCCCTCTCTCCTCATACCCATCACCTTTCTCAGTGACATCACAGAGGGCCACTTCACCTTGCAACAGTCAATCCAGTGATACCACAGAGGACCACTTCACCTAGCAACAGCTTTTGTGGTGCAAATATATGTGTGTGGTGTTTCACACACACACACACACACACTCACTTTTATATTTAGAGCTGCTTTTGGTTTGTAATATGACCACCACTTCTGAATGCCGAGCTTTTGGTTACAACAAATAAAAACTAGTGTGTGGAGAGCCAGATTGCTCTGGTTTAGAAAATGCAAACAATTTCCCTCACCATGGGGCCACTCATTCACTCGTGGAGCTTTTTATTCATTTTGTAAACTGGTAGGTGTTGGTTTCTATATTCTGTGCACAGCACAAGACCATTTCCCTCTCAACTGTAATTTGCTTTGTATGTATTTTTCTGTTTATACTTAGATGCAAGGGAAGGGAGCGAGGGAGACAAATGAATAGTAGGCACAATTATGTTACTATCAGTGTCTGAACATTTGCAGGACATAGAAATAATTGAGAGCTAAAATGGTGCAGGTTGCTTGCATGGACACAGTGGTGAGTTGGTCAGAAGGGTCTAGGGACATGCAAAGTGCTATAAAACATTTTAGCTAAATGTAATTAATGTAACATAATCTTTTCTCTGCCTTAGCTCAGCTGTGTCCTCATTCTCGCATTTCCCCCACCCCCGTTTTCATCCTCTTAAATCCTAATCTGGGCTGGCATGCGGAAACCCTGGAGCTATAACATCCTGGCACTGAGTGGTTGCTATGGCATCAGCCATTTTATTTTCCATGTGAGTGAAGGGCATCGGCATCTAAGATAAGTGAGATGGTCCTTGTCCTTTTCCCCACCCATTTCCCTTAGATGCACGAGATAACCCTTTGGAAATGGAGGATACCATCAATCATTTCCTGGGCTGGCCTGGGTTTATATGGCATGCAAGGTATTCTTCTTGCTCAAAAGTGAGAAAAGAGTTAAGAGAAATCCATCCTAAGTTCTTTATTGGTTGTAGCAGCTCAACTCCATAGTGATGTCTGGTATGGATGCTACATGTCAATAATAGGATTTTTCAGACATGTTCAGGTAACTTTGGCTGGGCCAGCTGGATACTAACTTGAATAACAACTACCACTCAGTTGCAGCGTATTGTATATATCATCTCATGGAAGAAGCTCAGACGAGTTTTGAATAACACGAATTTCTCACAATCTCTTGAAAACCAAGGCAGGAGCAACAGCTGAACTTGAGAGTCTCCAAACCCAAATGAATTCGGTCTCCCAGAGGACTTTGAACTTAGAATCATAGAGTTGAAAGACAACACAAAGGCCATGTAGTCTCACTCTATTCTGCAAACTCCATTGCCAAACGGCTCTTGCCATCAGGAAGCTCTACCTAATGTTTAGGTGGAATCTCGGTTCTTGCCATTTGAATCCATTGCAGCATAAAATGGGCTTGGTCTCTTACAAATATTTAAACATGTCTATTATGGAGCTCCCAGTGGTGCAATGGGTTAAACCCTTGTGCCGGCAGGACTGCCAACTGCCAGGTCAGCGGTTTGAATCCAGGGAGAGCGGGTTGAGCTCCATCTGTTAGCTCCATCTCCCCATGCGGGGACATGAGAGAAGCCTCCCACAAGGATAGTACAACATCAAACATCCAGGCATCCCCTGGGCAACATCCTTGCAGGTGGCTAATTCTCTCACACCAGAAGTGACCTGCAGTTTCTCAAGTCACTCCTGACACAGAAAAAAAAAGTCTATTATGTCCTCTTTCAGTCTTCTTTTCTCCAAGCTAAATCTACTCAGCTCCATCAGTGATTCTTCATAGGGATTTTGATCATTTTGGTCGCCCTGTACAGTCAGGTCAGGTAGAACACCGTCTGAATCATTTTCTTGCTTGTGTGGGGGGTTTTTTCCCACTTGAGTGAGATTTGAGTAGCAATTTATTGGAATGAGTTTTAAGAGGAAGCAGTTTGCTTGGATATGAGATTATTTTCTTTCAAATGACAGGATCTGCACAGCAGGTTGTCAAGCTAGCAAAGTAAAGCTATAGGGCATGAACAAATTGGTGCCAACCGCAGCTGCAAGAAGGAGGTTTCTTTGTGCCACTTGAAAAAGAAGGCTCTAAGAAGAATTATGATAGAAATGGAGGCACAAGAGTGCAAAAGAAGAGAGGAATTGGTGTGTTCAGAGACCATCTCCTAATGCTTATATTGCTTCCCTGTCTGGCTGGAATTGCATTTGTTCTCCACACTTTGAATGGTAATCATCTCATTACTTAAAACTGGCTGCAATATTGCTCTCAGCAATTTGCTTTCTCTATGGTAAATTGCTGTAAGTTCTACAAAATTGCTTAAGGAAAAGAAAGACACTATATTTGTTACAGAGTTTAACCTGGATTACATGATTTTAATTAATGTTTTAATAATTAACATTTAATTGTATGGTTTTAATTGTATTTATTTTTATATTTGGCATCAAATCACTGCCTGCTGTAAGGGCACCCTGAGTCCCCTTTTAGGGCGAGAAGGAAGGGATACAAATATGTGAAATAATAATAATGATGATGATAATAACCTTAAATTGGGGGGTGAAAGTTATCAACATTTTTGTGTTTAAAATAAGCTTCTAGCTATTGTCGAAGGCTTTCATGGCCAGAATCACTGGGTTGTTGTAGGTTTTTTCAGGCTATATGGCCATGATCTAGAGGCATTTTCTCCTGACGTTTTGCCTGCATCTATGGCAAGCATCCTTAGAGGTAGTGGGGTCTGTTGGAAGTAAGAAACTGGATTTATATATAATTACACAGATATAGTATTAGTGACTCAAATATAGTGACTCAGGGCTAGGGTAGAGAGTATTCCAGGATTTCTCTACCATTGGAAGAAGTTAACTCAGCAGCTGAAGGGAAAAGTAAGAAAGGAACATCCACATGATTTTATAAGTTGACTGTTTGTATTTGTAACCTCAACAAGTTGTGCCAAGCCTGTCAAGGACTTTGAGAAAATAAAAATCTTGTTTGATGTTCAATCTGGAGATGTCTTAGTTGCTGGGACTCCTGAGCTTCAAAGTAAGGCCCCCGCGGTCCACCCGGCTAAAGAAAGAAGCACATCATAGTTTCAACCTTAAAGTGCCTAGGTGTGACTGCACAGGTCTAATAGGTGAATTGGATTGCCAAAGGAGTCAGGACTCTATGCAGCTTTTTGGCCCTTCATATGAGAAGCAAAATCAGAATCAATCAAACAACATAATTCATGAACAGACCACACCTGGAATATTGTGTCCAATTCTGGTCACCACAATTGAAGAGAGATGTTGACAAGCCGGAATGTGTCCAGAGGAGGGTGACCAAAGTGATCAAAGGTCTGAAGAACATGCTTTATGAGGAGTGGCTTAAAGAGATGGGCATGTTTAGCCTTCAGAAGAGAAGGCAGAGAGTAGACATGATGGCCATGTATACGTAAGTGAGGGGAAGTCATAGAGAGGAGGGAGCAAGCTTGTTTTCTGCTGCCTGGGGACTAGGATGTGGAACAATGGCTTCAAACTACAGGAAAGAAAAGAGATTCCACCTGAACATTAAGAAGAATTTCCTGACTGTGAGAACTATTCAGCAGTGGAACTCTTTGCCCTGGAGTGTGGTGGAGGCTCCTCTTTTGGAGGCTTTGGGCAGAGGCTGGATGGCCATCTGTCAGGTGTGCTTTGAATGCGATTTTCCTGCTTCTTGGCAGAGGGTTGGACTGGATGGCCCATGAGATCTCTTCCAACTCAATAATGCTAAGCAAAAGATTTGTATTTCTATTTTGTTATTCAGATGTATTTTTTTGCCTGGAATTCACTTAACACTATAATTTATGCCAACTGTGTAACTGTTCTGTTGACCAGAATAAAACACAGAGCTGTAATTTGAGATCTCCCAATTTCAAATAGCGGCAACTACTGTGATCTTGAAGGTAAGTTTCAAAGATACAAGAATTTCATGTGAAGCCCATGAGAGTATGTGTCAAATATTACACTTCTTGCATGAATAGATTACTTCTGGCAGTTTTCTTTCCTCACAGGAGCAGCGCCTGTCTTGGGACTTACTGCCTGATCTGTTGCTGTGTGTTTCTCTTCTGTTCAAGAGAATTCAAGGTCAGCTTTTCCCTTTGCTGTCCTGTGTGTTTTTCCTGGCACCTGCACAGAATAGCAAACACCGTTGTTCTGCCTCGTAGCAGAGCTCATCTCTTTGGTTGGGGAGCTATCGAAAGGTGCCAATGCCTGCTTGCATTTTGTGTGGCTCAATTCCTGGGGATTGTCAAAGGGGATGAGTGTGTTCAGATGGTGCATGTCTTCCCCCCACTGCAGCAGAGCAGCTGGTCAAAAGGACAGACTGACTGTGCCATTGATTGCTTCAAAAATAGCTCCTAATCCAAGTATGAGAAGAGCAGCTATGGCGAAACATATTCAAGGAAATTAAGTTCTGCACTATTAAATGTCTTTCAGGCTTTAAAAAATACCCAATTTCTCCAAATGATTAAACTAGACTTTTAAAAAAAGTCTTTGTTATTATAATTGGTAATAAAGTCCTCTCTAAAAGATCAAATTAAAACATTCATGTGGATTTCTGCTCCCACAGCTGCTGAAGAACCAGCTCTATCCAGTACAATAAAGCTATTCTCTCCTCTCCACTAGCCAGTGGCCATGTGTTTCTGTTACAGCTCCTTCAATGAAGAAAATGATCTTTGAGAGAAAGGGACTGGAGGAGGTGGGCTGGCAGATGTCATATGCTTGTTTCTCATAGGCAGTATGTAGATAATTAAAGGGGGGGGGGACCAAGGTTATGTTCACTATATTTTGAATCAGCCTGTGCTGTCAATGCTTGAGTGTGGGAGAGATTTGTTACACACATACACACCCGGATGTTCGCTCTTGTTTTTCCTCCAATTAGCTCTACGATTTGGCACAGCTGGGCTTCACAAATTTCAGTTCAGGGGAGAAAAGGGGAGTGAAAGGATGAGCTATGGGAAATGTTAAACAGGAGTTTGGCATAACTTGAAAGTAGGGCTCCTTGACATGACTCCAGGAACAGAGAGGAGTTGGCAATGATAGGTGTTGGGTTGTTGTAGGTTTTTCGGGCTGTATGGCCATGTTCTAGGAGCATTTTCTCCTGACGTTTCACCTGCATCTGTGGCAGGCATCCTCCGAGGTTGTGAGGTCTCTGAAGATGCCTGCCACAGATGCAGGTGAAATGTCAGGAGAGAATGCTTCTAGAACATGGCCATACAGCCCGAAAAACCTACAACAACCCAATGATTCTGGCTATGAAAGCCTTCAACAATACAATGATAGGTGTCGTTTTGTCGGTAGCCTTCCCTACTCTGGCTCCCTCCAGATGCTTTGGATGAAGATATGTTATCTTTGACTGTACCAGCTGGGAGTTAGAAGTCCAAAATATCTTGAGAGTTGGAAGCTTTCACCCTTAAATATAGTTTCAGAAAGAAAGCACAAGCCACAGAGGGCTGAGGAATGATGAGAGCTGCAGTACACCACTGGATGGTCATATAAGATCCATCTCTGATTTCCATTGTCACTTTTCACCTCCATAGGCTATTTCTGCAATGAATGCTTAACCATGGTTGTTCTTAACCTTCCCCCTCTCTTCTAGAGAGAAAGTAACACAAGTAAACCAGGGTAGGATGAGGATAAATGTAATTTCATCCCTGAATCAAACTACCCACTTACTCTGATGTCCAATGAAATGACCAAAAGTGTCCTCGCTGGAATCTTATATGACCTGTTACATTATGTAACTTTACGTATACCTAGCTATGTAGCAGAGACGTGTAATGGACACCAGAAAGCGTGCCTGATCTGCCTCGGTACCTAATGTGCATCAAGACCAATGAGATGCACTTTGGACACCAATGTACATCAGGTACTTTGCTGCCTCTGCAGTATAGTAACATAATAGCTGCCCTGTGCTGAATATGGATGTTCTAATTGCAGTTCTAATTCCTGCATGTGAATGTTTATTTATGTTAAAGAGAATTTACATTTAGCTTTATGATGACCTTAAGTTACCACAGGATTTCATACCCTATATTTAAATCAGTGGTTCCCAACCTTTGTTTGACCAGGGACCACTTGACCAGCGACACTCTGACCAGAGACCACTCTCCAACATTAGTACCAATAGGGTTATGAATCAGTTTTTCGTCCACTTTAGATTCAGTTTGGGGTGCTGATTCAGAAAATTGCATTGGATAGACCACATCTGCTCTAATTTCTGATGCAGAATGTATACCATGGTCAGCAACAAGGAAGGAGTGGCAGGCGGCACAAAAGTAGTGGAAATAAAATAAAATAAAGAGGAAGGAGGCTCGTAGATCAGATTTTCGTCCTTGCAGCCTACTGGTGGTCTGCGTCCCACAGGTTAAGAACCACAGATTTAAATAAATATGTCGCAGCCCTTCTTGCTTCTTTCTTACAACAGGGCAGGAGGTAATAGATAAATGATCCTGGGTTGTTACTTCTAGAAGTTTAAATGCATGGCCACAACATGGAATAATACTTAAGCCAGGGCCATGCTAGATGCTGTAATCAAAAAAATGACTCTGAGATTATTCAAATGACTAACCCCATGAATGCAAGAAGCTATCTCTGGATTGCAAAGTAGCATTTCTTGTCATCCCAATCCGTTGTTCTGGATAAGTAGACATCAGCAGAAACACGTCACCATCAAATTACAGAACAGCCCACATAAAGCACAGATGGAGTGGTGGTGGGGATGGGGACACAACACCAACTCCTCTTTACATGTATATATATTTAGTACCAGTGAAAGAATGAAAATGTTTTCCTATCTCTTCTGTAAACATTCATAAATACAGTGGCAGCAAATTCTGGCACAGGGTATCCCATCTTCCAAACATGAGACTTTGTCATCAAAATAAACAGAAGTGATCAAGAGGTGGGGAATGGGTCACCATTCTTACACGAAAACACAATTTTCATTTACCTTTATTTATATAGATATTTATAGATTTGATGGTGCACTTGTTTTTCCTTTCAGACAAACTTTTTTGGTATATTTTTTAAAAAAAAAAAGAAAGAAAGAAAGAAAGAAAAAGTAGCAATATAAATCAGCACATCCTTTCATTGAATGTTCTGTTTGCCACAATGGGACTAAGAACAGCAAAAATAGAGAAATCCATGCATGTGAGAAAAAAGAAAACGGGTTGATTTTTCTTTTTTAAAAAAGAAAACCAAAATAAATATGGACAGAGAAGCACAGATTACAACAGATCAGTGAAAATTAAACTAACTCCACTCTCACCGCTACTACATTTTTAAAGTGCAAAGAAGCTTGGGGTTGGTTGGTTGAATCTATCTAATACAAGCAAATTATACTCCCCCATCGTGCTTGAAAAACAATAGATCTAAAAGATATACATTATACACAGTCCTGTAGAAGATGCCTACATCTACATTGTAGCACCAAGAATTGATATGCAAGTAATTAAAATCAAATAAAAATGCAAAGAGCAATGATAGTAGTTTTAATTTACTTTACAGTTTGCTTTTTTTGTCTTCAAACATTTTTGCCTTTTTACAAAAGTCCAGCGGACAAGCCCATCCCCATGTCCCAACAGGTGAGGAAGTTGTTTCTTTTTGTCTGCAGCCTCTAAAAGCTTCATCAATTTGGCATTGGACAAAGAAAAGAAAAAGAGAAAGACATAAAGCTCATGGAAGAGAGACAGGGAAGGTGGAGAGGAGGAACAAGGAATGGTGCACACAAGGGGCAGAAGGTAAGGAGAGAGTAGAGACCACTGAGTGCCCCCCACACACATACAGGCAAACATACACCACCCCACCACCCCCAAACTATCTTGGTCTGTTGCACTGCGAAGTCAGGATGGACACCGGTTGCTTTTGGGCCGCTCCTGGGTCACACGCCTCTCCTTCCACTGATTTGCCAAAGTGAGGAGTGATGGGGAGGCAGGGGTGTTGGTGCAACAGTTTGGAGTCAGTCCTCTGACGACATTGGTGTATTATCAGTAGCCAAAGGTTTCTTGCGAGGCGTAGACCATGTAGAGAAAGCCATCTTCATCCTTCTCTTGTTCATAGATCTCCGAGATGGGGGTGGAAACACTCACCATGCTGTGCTGGTTCACCAACAGGAAGAAGGCCTGGGTTGGATTCAGCTGCAGCCGGCGCCTGAGAGAAGGGCAGAAGGCAATAAATCCAGCAGAACTGAAATACAGGACTAGAATATTTTGCAAACACTCAGAAAAAACGAAATGCAAAGATACAGAATGGGGGACACCTGGCTCGAGAGCAGTATGTGTGAAAAAGATCTGGGAGTCCTCGTGGACAACAAGTTAAACATGAGCCAACAATGTGATGTGGCGGCAAAAAAAGCCAATGGGATTTTGGCCTGCATCAAGAGGAGCATAGTGTCTAGATCTAGGGAAGTCATGCTCCCCATGCTCTATTCCGCTTTGGTTAGACCACACCTGGAATATTGTGTCCAATTCTGGGCAACACAATTCAAGAGAGATGTTGACAAGCTGGAATGTGTCCAGAGGAGGGCGACTAAAATGATCAAGGGTCTGGAGAACAAGCCCTATGAGGAGCGGCTTAAGGAGCTGGGCATGTTTAGCCTGAAGAAGAGAAGGCTGAGAGGAGATATGATAGCCATGTATAAATATGTGAGAGGAAGCAGGGAGGAGAGAGCAAGCTTGTTTTCGCTTCCCTGGCGACTAGGACGCAATGGAGACATGGCTTCAAACTACAAGAGAGGAGATTCCATCTGAACATGAGGAAGAACTTCCTGACTGTGAGAGCCGTTCAGCAGTGGAACTCTCTGCCCCGGAGTGTGGTGGAGGCTCCTTCTTTGGAAGCTTTTAAACAGAGGCTGGATGTCCATCTGTCATGGGTGCTTTGAATGCAATATTCCTGCTTCTTGGCAGGGGGTTGGACTGGATGGCCCATGAGGTCTCTTCCAACTCTATGATTCTATGAATACCTGAGAGTTAGCATGGTGTAGTGATTTCAGCATTGGACTCTTCCTTGGGAAAGCCAAGAGCTCAAACACTATTTCCATCCTAAATATCTTAGTGTCACCTTAGATCAAACACTAACATTTAGAAAACACTATGAACACCAAGCAAAAATAAGATGCACGCAATAACATCCTGTTATTTACTGGCAGCACATGGAGTGCAGATCCAAAATTAGTAAGAACATCAGCCCTCAACTGCTGAATATGCCTACTCTGTTTAGCACAAGTCTGTGAAGCAGGTGAATATAACATTGAACAAATCATGCAGAATAATCGCAAGATATCTCAAACCTACACCTGTTGATGAACTTTACAAGCTAGCTAGCATTGGCCCCCTGATGTGCAATGGGAAGTTGCTGCTAACTGTGTGACAGGTAAGGTTGAACACTGTGAAAGCCATCCACTGCATGGCTACCAGCCTCCTCCCAGTAGACTCAAAATCAAGAAAAAGCTTCATGGGGACCACCACTCCTCTTAATGTTCCCCCAGCAACAGCAAGAGTATCCCTCTGGGCAGCTACACCAGGAAATCCCAATTTGGATGGCCCCCCACAAGGGTCTTCCTCCAGGGACAAACCAAGAATGGGCAATTTGGAAGTTCCTGAACAGACTCAGAAGCAGAGTGGGCAGATCAAAAGACAACCTGGCAAAATGGCACTACCTTGTGCCACTGTGGAGCAGAACAAACAACTCAGCATCTGTATCCTTGTCCACAGAGGAAGGATTGTTTAAAGCTACAGACAATGTGGTTGTTGTTACCTGTTTTGGGTCAAAAATTATTTAGCCACGTGTTCTCACCCTCTATTTTATCAGTTTTAATACTTATTTATGCAATGCTTTTGACACAAAATAAGTAAATAAAGTGTTGCACTATGAGTCTGGAGACCAGGGCTCAAATCCTTGCTCCACCATGGAAACCCCTATGTGTCTTTTACCCTAACCTCCCTTGAGCAAATCTTGGAAAGATAACCCCATGACAGTTTTGCTTTACAGTCACCACAAGTCAGAAATTATTTGAAGACACACGACAACAACTAGCATACCTGCACAATTTATTTCAATCAGGTTTTACAAATCAACTAGTGTTGCACTTTTAATGCTGTGTAATAATGTTATTAAGATTTTAAGGTCCTACATATAGTCTTTAATGTATTTTAATATGTGTAATGCCCTGCTGCCAAAGAAGGAACAGTTGTTCCCATATTACATGGAACTGGATTCTGGGCAGAAGTCATATTCCACAGAACCAGCCCATGTTACTTGGCTGCATTATTAGAACAGATCACAGGCAACTGCTTTGAGACATTTCACTTACCTAATTATTTTTACCAATTCACTCATGTTGACATGGTCAGGAACTAAGAATTTGGTCTTGTCCAGCACAGGAAGCTGCTTTTCCCCCTTGTATCTTTCAATAATAACCTGGTGAATGAGAAACAGGCAAAGTTGCATTATTTTCAGATCCACCTTAATCAAAACCATCTTTTCCACACAAGTATTAACAGTTTAAAACTTCTGGAAAGACACAAATTATTAGGCCTACGTCCCAAATGGCTTCATTCCCAATATTACATGAGAAATCACAGAATAAAAAGCAAGAACCAAATTTTATTAAGGCTTTTTACAGAGGCAGCTTGAAATCCAAAACTGATTTTGCAAACACTCATTTGAAATAGTAATTAAGGAACCAAATGGTCATGAAATGTTCTGTCTCGCCCTTTCTTCAGTCCTTTCTCCCAGCTGTGTACTTCCTTCTCTGCCATCCTCAATGCTGCTTTTTAAATAGTAGCAATAACCTTGAGCCATTTGAAGACTTGTTTCCATGACCTATTATTTTTTTAAAAAAACCAAAACAGAAACAAAAACCTATCTCTCAACTTTTTCAAATTTAAAAATAACTGTTCCAGGAGGGGTTGAGACAGAAGTCGGAAACCGGAATCCTTCAGTCACCATGGTTACATAACTCAAAAGTAACAGCAATCATGTTTTTTGGACTACAACTCCTAGAATCCTCCAGTCAACATCTGCCTGGAGCATTTGGGAATTTAATCCAAACTGTAACTTTTCCAAGTTCAGCTTCAATGCAGCAAATGTGTTTTCTGGCTAATTTGCCTCTTATATTTATACTTATATAAAATCATAAGCATCCTTTCCGACTATGTATTACACAAAACAGATGACATTTGTAACAAATCTTCTGAATCAATAAAAAGTGACTAATGAGATGCTAGCAAATTTGACTCCGACTCCCAACATCAGTCACCTCCAGCATTTCTCTCTGCTGATCATATCTTCCTGGGTGTCCATTCTCCTATTCCAAGGGTTCTTGAGTGGAAGCCCACATCCTGATATTTCGACTGAGGCAAACCACCGTGGACCAGAGATTAAGGACAGAATTGCAAATACATTTGCACACAGATACATTTACCATTATTTAGTGCAGTTTCCACTCTGAATCCACATTTAAGATGCACTGATAACAGAACACGTGTCCATTTTTCTCAAATTCAGTGTCCAGAAGGACACACACTTTCACTTTAAAACGCTTGTCAAAGCAACTGACTAATCCACCAAGTTTTCCACTGACACTCCATGTGTGGATGCGCCTTCAGATTGCCTGTTGAGTTACAATGATCCCTCAATTTCAGATGAATTTCATGAATACTCAAGAGATGGTTTGCCATTGCCATCCTTTAAAATACAGCCCATGGTAACAGCTTTTCCTCGGTGGGCTGCCATCCCAGAACTAACCAGGGCTGATCCTATGAGCATCCAAATTCAGGCAAAACCTGGTGCCTTTAGGGCAGTGGTTCTCAACCCGTGGGTTGCCAGATGTTTTGGCCTCCAACTCCCAGAAATCCTAACAGCTGGTAAACTGGCTGGGGTTTCTGGGAGTTCTAGGCCAAAACACATTGGGGGCCACAGGTTGAGAACCACTGCTTTAGGGTATGTAAGTCTATTTAAGATTGCATGCACATATAAAAACACTGTAGTCCTTTTTCACATGGAAGGCTTGTAGGAAAGAAGTCCCAGTTTGCTCAGTAATAACTTCACTCCTTCCTCCACCTAAACCGGTTTGGACTGGGACCATAGTGGCATGGAAGGGGAAAACTAAAGCTCTCTCACCCACTTGAGAATACCAATCTAGACTGAATCCCTATACTTACTTTTGAGTAAGAAAAAGAACAGCTGTGTACTAAAAGTAACATGTTGCTTGGCTAAGTCCCTAACATGATTATAACCTGATTATATATGGCAGGTTGTCCTTTTGTTTTCTGGGATATACTGGCTCTTAAGACTATGATGGCTAGTAGCCATTCATAGACTTCTCCCTGCGACTCTAATTAGTTTAATAAACAACAACCTCAATCTGTAGCCACAGCCGCTACAACATCTCGTCACAATAAACCCATACTGATAATGAGCTTCATGCAGAACTGCTTTCCTCTGTCTGCCTCAAACCTTCTGCCAGTCCATTTTGTTGGATGATGTCCTAGACCAAGTGCTTGAGTGACATTATTATTTTTTTCTTTGTCTCAAATGAAATTATGGGACAGAAGGGGCTGCAACTGGCAGGCAATCTGAGAAACATTGTGCTTTTACATCTGCTCTCCATCTCAGTTTATGAATTTTTCAAGAGCAGTAAGCAATTAATTGTATGCAAGAAATAGACAGTGAATAGACCAAGCATTGAGGCAAGTGGACAACATTTGTTACACGCAACCCATGCATTCAACATAAACTGGCAGCTGCAACAAATGGGAAACTCCAACAATCATGACAAAGGCTAAAATATCTTGACTTTCCAGTTAGACAAGGAGATGCCTTAATTTATATTTATCATGTCAGGAACAAACCAAACAATTGTACTATTTTTTAAAAAACAAAACAAAACACATACACACACAAAGTAGGCAAATTTGGCATTCTATTAAATGTCCTTTGACCAGTAGCTGGCCATTTGGAGTGCTTCTGGTGTTGCTATAAGAAGGTCCTCCATTGTGCATGTGGCAGGGCTCAGGTTGCATTTTAGTAATTGGTCTGTGGTTTGCTCTTCTCCACACTCACATGTCATGGATTACACTTTATGGTCCCATTTCTTAAGGTTGGGTCTGCATCTCGTTTTGCCAGAGCGCAGTCTGTTCAGTGCCTTCCAAGTCGCCCAGTTTTCTGTGTGCCCAAGAGGGAGTCTCTCATTTGGTATCAGCCATTGATTGAGGTTCTGGGTTTTAGCCTGCCACTTTTAGACTCTCACTTGCTGAGGTGTTCCAGTGAGTGTCTCTGTAGGTCTTAGAAAACTCTGATCCCTTAATGAAGTAATAAAATGCATGTTTTGCTTGCAGATGGACTGGGAAAATCTCCTGGGTAAAATGCTGGGATGCTGTTACAAGCTGAAGTCAATACTACCAGGCAAGATGGGAAAATGTTCACATTAAGTATAAAGCAGCTTTCTTAGTTCAGGCACTTCAGGTTATGGGGTCAATAGTCTGATCATCTACAAGTGTTTCTGTGCTGAAGACTTGCTACAGAAGAGGAAAATCCTCCCTTTCTTTTTCTCCCTTTGTGTTCTTTCCCCTAAGAAATCTAAGAAATGATTGAAAAGTGCAGTAAATATGACCTTCTTCCAAAGTGTTACTTATATGGAAGGCTCATGTGTGTAGGAAAAGGGCTATGCTACTGGTTCACCCCAAATATCACATGGCCAAGAGAATGTCACCCTGAGCATGGACATCAGAAAAGAATTCATGGAAGTAGCAGCCCATGCACATTTCCTCCCCGTCATCACACTACAGCAGTGATTCTCAACCTTCCTAATGCCGTGACCCCTTAATACAGTTCCTCATGTTGTGGTGACCCCCAACCATAAAATTATTTTCATTGCTACTTCATAACTGTAATTTTGCTACTGTTATGAATCGTATGTAAATATCTGATATGCAGGATGTATTTTCATTCCCTGGACCAATTTCGGCACAAATACTAAATACGCCCGAATTTGAATACTGGTGGGGTTGAGGGGATTGATTTTGTCATTTGGGAGTTGTAGTTGTTGGGATTTATAGTTCACCTCCAATCAAAGAGCATTCTGAACTCTGCCAGTGATGGAAATGAACCCATCTTGGTACACAGAACTCCCACGACCAACAAATAATACTGGAAGGGTTTGGTGGGCATTGACCTTGAGTTTTGGAGTTGTAGTTCGCCTACATCCAGAGAGCACTATGGACTCAAACAATGATAGATCTGGACCAAACTTGGCACAAATACTCAATATGCCCAAATATGAACACTGGTGGAGTTTGGAGAATTGGGAGTTGTAGTTGCTGGGATCTATAGTTTACTTACAATCAAAGAGAATTCTGAGCCCCACCAACGATAGAATTGGCCCAAACTTCCCATACAGAACCCCCATGCCTTGAAGGGACTCACTGGTGTGAGCCTCCCTCCAACCTCACACACTCTTCCTCACCTGCACATGCACACTATTCTGCCATCAACTAGGCTACACTGAGTGAACCACTTACAAGTATGACCTAACTGTTGCTTCACCATCCAACATCTGATTTAATGGGTCAACTTTAATTAAGAGTACAACCAATAGGAATAGGCTACTGTATAGAATGATTGCATGCATACATATAGATTATATGCACACATATACAAATTAAAAGTGCAGCAAACATATCCTTTGAGGCAACAAATGTGGTAAGCATAATTATTTGTTAATCTTATACTTCTCACAGGTCTTACTTCATAACGTGGTAATCTTCAAATTTTAAAGTGCTAACCCGTATTAAAGGACTTCCAAATTGGGCTAAGCATAAGCTGTTTTTGAACTGGGTGTTTTTGTTTTGCCAGACCTTTGCCCTGAGGGCATATCCTCAACCAAAATGTGCAATATTTGCTGCGTCCAATTTTGAAAAAACATACCAGTATACAATAAACAATTGGGTCTGCGGTAGTGCAGCGGGTTAAACTGCTGAGCTATTGAACTTGCTGACCAGAATGTCAGCAGTTCAAATCTGCGGAATGGGATAAGCTCCCGTTGTTAGCCCCAGCTTCTGCCAACCTAGCAATTCGAAAACATGCAAATGTGAGTAGATCAGTAGGTACTGCGTCTGCGGGAAAGTACCAGCACTCCATGCAGTCATGCTGGCCACATGATCTTGGAGGTGTCTATGAACAATGCCGGCTCTTCGGCTTAGAAATGAAGATGAGCACCACCCCCAAGAGTGAGACACAACTAAACTTCATATCAAACCTTTACCTTTACTATACAATAAATAAACTTTACTTAACACTATGTTTTCTTACAGTAGAGGTAGGAAAAGAGGACAGCAGTGAGTACTGTGACACTCTTTATGGACACTTCAAAGGCAGAAGTGAGTCGTGAGCCAATTTTGGATTGACCACACCACTTT